CTGTAAAGAGCTAAACAGAAGCTGTAAAAGGCTGAATGAAGCTGTAACGAGCTAAACATGAGTTAAACACACAGAGAAACACACACGGTCACAAATGCCAGGTGAACAGTTGAACATTCTGTTACCATGGAAATGCAGCAGGACAGGAGAGAAATACCAAAACTTTAACAAACTTAAACTCTGATTTTACAAGAACGTGTTAGGATATCAAAAAGATGAATCATTTGAACGACTTATGAACTGTTTAAAAGTTGAGTGGACATTCTAGGTGGAAGTATGCTGAAGTAGTTCAAAAAGCAGGAAGACGTTGAACGATTTCACAGAATCAATGTATTTTCAATGAAAAAAAATACATATGTTGAAAAAGCTGAATATTAAACAAAATGTTAAAAAGATATCAAAAGTCTGAGCAGGGGTGACTTAAACGAGATGAACATTTTCATAGCTAAATTGCTGAAAAAGTTTAAAAACTGTGGGACGACGCTCAATGGGATTAACCTGTCTAAATAAAGGTTGAATGAAAAATAATTTTGCAAGATGCTCAAAAACGTACAGAAGACACCTGAACAGGATGAACAGCATTCGGAGAATTCTTTCAAAATCTCTGACATCGGGAGAGGATTTTCTTACCTGGACCAGACGTGCTCTTGTTCCCAGGTATCTGTTCCATGATAATTACACGACAGGTATGAAGCAAAGTTTAAGGTTTTACAAGCTTGTAAACCAAATTTCCTAACTTTACCATGTGACCAGGAACAATACTGACATCTAGTGACTAATACTGGTATTGACAGTTATATCATTACATAGATGACAATGAAACTGACAACAAAGTTGGGATTACTGTACAACAATAGTGAACAGCATAAATATTATTTTTTAAACACAACCCATAGAGATTTACACAGAACCTTAGAGCTTCCTTGTGTGTCAGATAATTTATTACTATTATTTATTACTGATCCAGTAATCACCTCAGACAGCTGGCTAAGGTAAAAGTCTATCCTCATACAGCAGCAGCTGAAAACAGTTATCCATGGTTTTGTCACCTCTCGGCTGGATTACTGTAACACCCGTTACCTTGGAGTCAGCCAGTCCTCCCTCAGACGCCTCCATTTGGTCCAGAACACTGCTGCTTGGCTTCTAAACTGGAGTTCATAAGAAGGAGCACATCACCCCCACTCTGTCACTCCACTGGCTGCCTGTTCATTTTAGAGCTCAGTTTAAGATTATTTTATTTGTTTTTAAAAGTTTAAATGGTCTTGCTCCATCCTACCTCTCTGAGCTGCTTCACCTGCGCTCTCCTGCTCGGCGCCTCAGATCAGCTGATCAGCTGCTCCTGGAGATGCTGAGGTCCAAACGGAGGATCAGAGGGGGCAGAGTTTTTTCTGTTGCCATTCCAAGACTTTGGAAAGATCTCCTTCTTCCCATCAGACGAGCCCCTTCCTTCACTGTCCTGTTTTTAAACTCTTTTAAAAAGACATTTTCGTTCCCTGGTTTATGGCACAGCCTGAAATGTGCTCTGCATTACTGCTTTTATTGGTGTTACTGTTTTAACAGCTTTATTCTTTTTTGTGTTTAAATGTTTTAATTTTATATGTACAAGACTTTGTTGCAACTGTGGTTGTTTTAAAGGGATTTATGAATAAAGTAGTAGTGGTTGTTGCAGAAGCAGCACGGTGGCACAACTGCTAGAGCTGCTGCCTCTCAGCGAGCAGGTCCCCGGTTCAAATCCTGGCCCGGGGGCCCTCCTGGGTGGAGTTTGCATGTTCTCTTCATGCATGCGTGGGTTTTCTTCAGGTACTCTGGTTTCCTCCCACAGACCAAAAATATGCATGTTAGGCTGATTGATAACTCTAAATTGTCCCTAGGTGTGAGTGAGAGAGTGAATGGTTGTTTGTCTCGTTTGTCTCCATGTGATCCTGTAATGGACTTGCAAACTGTCCAGGGTGTACCCCACCCCTCGCACAGTGGTTGCTAGACATAGGCACCGGTGATCCCCATGACCCAAAATGGAAGAAGCGTGTAAAATATAATGGATGGATGGATGGGTTCTTTTGATCTACTTTTAGGACTTGTGTGAAAATCTGATGATGTTTAGGTCATATTTATGCAGAAAAATAGAAAATTCGAAAGGATTCACAAACTTTCAAGCATCAATGTAACTGTGTTTATTTTAATAAGATTTTTATGATTTATTTCTCTAGAGCTGATATTTGGTTTATTAATTTTGGCCGTGGGCGAGCTGGTACTGTTTCAATGGGGGGTTTGAGTGGGTAAGAGAGGAGAAGCAGCAGAGAGGTGTAAGAATACAACTCTGCTTCCTGGACTGGACACTCTATAGACACTGGGTTGCCATAGAGGTGTCAAACCCACTTACAAAAGGGGGCCTAAATTAAAACCTTTTTCAAACTAAGGGCCTGTTTCAGAATCTACATTAACTCAGCTTAGATACCCAACTTCTTTTCTTGGTCACAGGTTCCTCAACAAGAATTTGATTGGTCTCATTTGACATTCTCTGTTGCACTTTTGACATAATCAAAGATTACTGAAAAAAAATTAAGCGATAAAAGTATTTTACATTTAAAATATCATCTTGGGGCCAGATAAGATGTCAACGAGGGCCGCATTTGGCCCCTGGTCCTTGATTTGACACATGATGTACTAATGTATGGAACACCGAGATGCCATTATGAAATAAATAAGCCATTATGAAAAACACAATTATGAAATAAATAAGCCACTTGTTCTTATTTCATATCGTTTAATTTATTGATTTAATTTTGAGCATCTCGGTGTTCCATACTAATGGAGGACCAATAACAAAATCGACCAAATTTCTAGAAAGAAGCCAGACAAGTTATCAGAAAGCAGACAGACCTCGAGTCAGCTGCGCATGCGCATCACGGCCTGCATTGCCCCCTGGTCTGTCGATTGTTAATGACGCTGAAGTAACGCGTTTCATGCGCCGTGCGGGATCATTTATTCCCTCCGCTGCAGCGGCCGAAATAAACTGGGGAAATAGTGACCGTAGTGCTGTGAAAGCCGGTGTCCGTGGGAGGGGGTCGCCGTTACTGCAGCTGCGCCGTCAGTAAAGTGCTCCGGGTCGGCCAGGTGAATGAGAATGCGTGCTTGTTAGCGGCTAGCTGTTAGCTTAGCTTCAGGGAGGCTAACGTTGTTAACGTAAAGACGGCGGACGTCCCGCCGGATCGGCTCGATGCTAATCGGCAGTGAGTACTTATTAAAGTCGCTAAAATGAGCAGTCGACGTGTTTATAATGTTGGAGGGAGTTCGCGGTTCGGTTTGTGCGCGATTAGCCTGCTCTAAGCGCGTCGCCGGGTTCTGGGCCTAGTTGTCAGCTAGCTCGACCAGCTATTGTAAGTGTTACAACCTTCTATTTGGCTGCAGGACAGCATGTCTTAACACTGACACAGTAAAATATGTAAATGCACCGAGTCACGTTATTGGGATTGACATGCTGCAAGAGTACTGGTTAGTAGTGTTAGCTTAGTGATGGTAAGTTTAATAATGCTTAGTAGTAGCGTTATTAGTTTAGTGAGAATAGTATTACCGTAGTTAAGTGATGGTAGCGTTTTGTTAGTTTAGTAATGGTAACTAGTGTTTTATTAGTTTAGTGATAGCAGTACTAGTAACATCAGTTAACTAACTACAGTGTTAGTTTAGTGATGTTAGTAGCATTTTATTAGTTTACTAACTTGATGTTAGTTGTGTTGAATTAGCAGCGTCAGAAGCCAAGTTGCTGTTCCAAAAAAAGTGAAGTCAGGTCCTCTGGACGGGTTGTTTGTTAGTTTTTTGTTAGTTAGGTTTTTGTTTGTTTTTTGAACCCGTCCAGAAGACCTGACTCGACTTTTTTTCGGTTTTACTTGGATTATTGAGCATGCATCAGGATGATCCTGCTGTTAGACAAAATTAAATATTAACTTGTTTGTTTTTCATTCATCACGTGATCAAGTCCAACATATAAGCTGCTTCGATTTCTGAGTCCAGATCTGCTGTGCATCTTTCTGTTTGTATTTTATGCATGGGTCTTAAATTGGCAGGTTTGGGAGAAAATACGCTGATCAGTCATAACATTATAATCAATATTAAATATGACACAGTTTTGCATCTGGGCAGTGTAACCTTGTGCAAGACAACATTTAGAAATTTACATGACAGGAAATACTGGACTCTTCTCAAGAATCTGAAGTTGATGCTGGATCCGTTACAGCCTCTCACAGGATGGTCCAAAGACAAGTTTCAGTCTTGTTGACATATCAATAAATGGGACATTACTCTTATCAAATTTAAAATAAGTACCTCAGATTATTGCTTTAAGTTCTAACCTTGCTGTTTGTTCAAATATTTGTTTAACACATTTAGCTACTGTTCCAAAAATCCAACATGGCAGCTCCTAAACTGCAACATAGTGGCTTCAATTTCCATCAACCGAAGAAGGTGGGAACATGAAGTCTGATGTTACAATTTGTTGTGTCCATGAACGTCCACGTGGACCCAGGACCAAAGTTTTCCTAGCAGAATGTTGTTGCGCCTGGTGCCCTGTCCTCCCCAGGTAGGGCAGGGGGAAAAAATTAGGTCTCTGCATTTAACCCGTCACACCTGAGATACACCCAGGTGGAGCTGTGGGCAGCTATGTAAGTACCCAGGGAGCAATTGGGGATTAGGTGTCTTGCTCAGAGACACCACAACATGTGGGAATGGCTGGTAGTCAAACCGTGACTTTCTGGTCCCAGGTTGGCTGCCCTACCTCTACCCCATCTCGGTCCCCTAAAAACAAAAAAGAGAGGTAGGAGATGTACATGGATCCAACCATCCACAAGATGGAAAATGAAGCATGATCCATTCGACCAGAACGTGGTTGAGTTTCTGATACTCGGGAGTGTTACTTGGTGGACCCAGGTGAGCAGAGACACCCTCACCCATCTGCAGATAGACCCAAACACCGCAAACTGGAATGGGTTCTGACACCTTATCAGAACCTTTTCACCAGTTTGATTTACAACAGCTCTTCTATTGGATCAGAACAACACAGTCCAGCTTACAGGCCTTACTTGGACTTCATCCCTGACTCTGGTTCTTCAGTTCTGCTTTGGACCATCTTTGGTCGATCTTGATTTTATGAGAGCGGAGCTGTGGAAACACTCTGACTCAGCTGTGTAACCTTCACAGTTTGGTTCTGGTTAAATCCACATACCAAAAACTTTTTCAGCTTTTAGCACCTTAATGATCAGAACGTTCCCCTTCTGCCTGATGGGTCTGATCCACTCCAGTGTTTTTGTTGTCCTTCCTCTCCAGTCGTTTCTTACAGTGTTATGGCTGATTGGTGTATTTATTGCAGTGTGAGCTCAGTTAAGATGGCACCTTCTTATTCTTACAGAATCTTTTCTCTTCCTTCAGAATATTCTTCAATGGATACTCCTGAAAGCCCGATGCAGTCTCCTCAGTCTCCTGAGGAGGAGGGGAGGGGTCTTTCTGACAGTGAACTGCTGCAGTCTCCCGATGAAGAAGAGGACAGGGTCATCTCTGACAGTGAGCTACTCCACAGGGATGAAAATGGAGGCCTCATTGAGGAAGATGAATCTGTAGAAAGCCATGGAAGAGGTTTGAACTTTGAGGACGAGGTGGTCCCTGACTTTATCTCTGATGCAGAAGATGAAGAACCGGTGGGAGAGGCAGAGGGGATGGTGCAGGAGGATGAGACCATTGTGTTCATGGAGGGGGATGATGATGATGATGTTCCACATGGGGAGCAGTTAGATGAGGAAGAGGATGGAGTTGCTGACACTCCGCTGTCTCCGGACTCCGACTCAGAGCAGGTCCGGCACTTCAACGAGTCTGAAGAAGATGGAGAAGATGGGTACAGTAAAGATGTCTCAATAGAGCGAGGAGCAGCAGAGGTGGGTGATGAAGAGGAGGAGGAAGATAAAAATAAGGAGGAGGAGGAGGAAATGAGGAGAGCTGAAGAGAGGAGAAGAGCTGCTGCAGTGAGGGAGATGAAAGACGACTCGGCCTCCGCGTCTCGTGAGCTGGATGAGCACGAGCTGGATTACGACGAGGAAGTACCCGAAGAGCCTAGCATCCCTGCACACGATGAAGAGGAAGATGAGGAAGACCCAAAAGTGGAGGGAGGGGAGGACAAGGAGGAGCAGCAGGAGAGCCGAGATAAAATCAGAAAGGAGAAGAAGCCAATCCTCCCTCCATCTCCTAAAGACAGCAAGTCAAAGAGGACGGACGACTCCAGAGGACCCGAGAGGCTCCGCAGAGATTCATTCAGAGACAAGAAGAAGGATGAAGATGATGGAGAGATTGATGAAGGAGAGATTGATGTAAGTGATGGTGGTTTGGTTGCTTTAATCTGTGTCAGGTAAGAGTCTGGGCTGGATTCAAGATTGTTATAATCGGAGTTTCTCTGTTTCAGCAGAGCTGTTTTAGTTTTTGGTGTTAATCAAAGCCGCTAGCTTTGGAATGGACTAAAGAAATTTTTATTATCCCCTCTGGGCATAATCATTTGTTTCACAGCCCGAAGGTTAAAATAAAAAAAAACGAAACACAAAAATCATTCATACACAACAGGACAACATACTGATGGAATCATAATACTGACCAGTGATGGTATTTTTAATTTGATTGATCAATCGACTAATTTAATGATTAAGCGAAACAACACATTTTCATTTCTGTTTGTGACACAGGAAAACGCCCAATTGCTTAAAACAAACTGTATTAGATTTTTCACCTAAGGACATCTGCATTATTTTACCGGTGCAATGCATTCTGGGTCAAAGACGTCCAGAGGTATCAGTGAAGTCCAGACGAAAAAGTGGCGTGTTTGATAATAAAGTTATATTTTCATCAATCCTTGAGCACAGAAACGATCAACTCGTGATGTTTAGCTAATTAACTTTGGAGGCTCGAGCTCTGTCCTCCCATCAGCCTGGCAGCACCAAACTGCTGTCACTCGTGTGCACTCCTGGTGATCAGTGAGTGTTGTGTGTTGCTCTGTGGTCCGAGTGGACTCGAGATTTACAACAGATTAGAACCCACAACCCAAATCAGGACAAGAAGAAGAGGATGATGATGGACGGATGTTTAAAGTGTCTAAGTGTTTATTAACATGTGAGAACATGTTTGATGCTTGTGATTGAAAGCAGCTCTGTGCAGCAGAAGTTCTCAACAGCTCTTGATCCCTCCTCTTCATCGTTTTCAGCTGCAGGCTGACTCTGTTCTACGTTCTCTCTTTTGCCGATGTGCTCCACTTCAAATTAAAGATCTGAACGTCAGACATCGTCCAAAATTAACCTTCAAACTAGATGCTGCTCGCACCGGAGGCATCTGTCGTTTACCCAGAATGCATTGCAACATAAACAACATGGCAACGTCTGTGGGACATCCATTTTTTAAAAACCTATAAAAACTGAACAGCGGCAGTATTATAAATGTCTGTCAAATAAGAGCTTTGCTCCAGCTAGTAAGAGATGCTTTTAAAATGTCAACTCCAGCATGATAAAATAAATCTGATTCTTTAGAAATTAAAGAAGAAAAGCCTAAACGTTCAGCATGTTGTATGGATATTATTGATATTGGAGATGAACTAAAGCATCCAGTTTTGTACAGGTGCAGAAAATTTCCAGAAACTTTCTTGGGAAGTCAGATTGGGGAAATTTGTAATTATTCCATATTAGAAATGCAGATGAAACATTATATTATGTTACAGATTCCAATGTGTACTTCATGGCTGTGGTACACGATCAGTCTGTCATTTCATACATGTGGGTTTAAACATGCCATGGCCACATACAGATAATGTTCACTCTGATTACTGAACGATGAGGTCACCGTCTGCCTCCTCTCTCTGATGGAGCAGTCTCCAGTCAGTTGCTTGGCTGTGGGATTTGTGCACGCTTTGATCACAAGCATTTTTTCATTCAACCTTTATCAACATGGGTCAAAATCTGCACGGGTCACTGCTAGGGCTGAACAATTAATTGCATTTGCGATAATATCGCAATATGCTAAAACAAGATTTTGTAATCGCAAAGGCTGCGGTTTGACTGGTCACGTGATCTGGTTACGTGACTTGCGAGTGAACGGAGCAGAGCAGGGAGCGAGAGAAGTCGACGCTGCGCTTTAACTGGTTGCACAGTGGTGTCAGACTCGACAGAAGCTGACACATCTGAAAGTTTGGTATCAAAGAGGGGCAGCACCTCCGTTGTTTGGAACAAATAAGACCTGCACAACGTCATGTATTGTGCAGAACCTGCCTTGCTGCTGTTGATACCTCTCGGAGTAACACCACAAATCTTTATCAACACTTAAAAAAACACCACAAAGCCGTTTACAGTAGTTGCATGGGTAGAATGCCAATGACCAATGCTTGAACTTCAAGTAAGCAAAGTACCAGTCGACAGGGACCACTGACCGAACTGTTCGAAGGCGTTACTCCGTATGAACATAATTCGAAACGGCACGCAGAAATAACTCGAGCAGTGATGGAGTTCATAGCGAAAGACATGATGCTCATTAATATAGTGATCAAGTCTGGGTTTAAGGCTTTGGTAAACACAATGGATAAGCGGTACAGAACGCCCTCGCACACACATTTTTGCCAAGTTGCTATCCCGGAGCTATGCAAAAAAATGCAGAAACCGTTGCAGCGTACCTGAAAACAGTGGAGTTTTTTTGCAACTGAAACAGATTAATTTATTGTTTGTGTTCGTTGAAGAAGACATTGAAAAATAATCGCATATTAAATCGCAATATTGAGGTAAAAAAAATCTAAATTAGAACATTTCCCCAAATCGTTTAGCCACAGTCACCGCGCAAATCTGTACTTCCTGCTTTGTGTTTGTCTGAACTTCCTGAGACTCTTGTACTCCGTTGAACTTGTGACCTGTTGTAGAATTTTAATACTCAGTAATTAAAGCAGCTAACTTGTTTAAGGGAAATTAGGGGTAATTTAAACAAACTCTGAATTATATTTAATCATTGTTTTATAAATACATTTGTAAATGTTATTTATTTAGCTATTAACAACATTATCCTTAAGAGACAAGTTGACTCTTACCTGTAACAGGTGGGTCAGCCCTGACGCATTAGTCTATGAGCTGATTAAAAGAAAGACCCGATGAAGACAAACAACTGGATCTGTTATATAATCTAACACCTGGACTCATCTTGTGGGCTTCAAGGATTTGCTGTGATGCGTCACTTTTTGTTTGTGTGCAGGACGATGACCTGGAGGAGGGAGAGGTCAAAGATCCTTCAGACAGGAAGATCCGCCCTCGCCCCATCTGCAGGTTCTTCATCAAAGGTAGGTGTCGACCCGCAGATTTATGACCAGGATGTTAGATATAATCTGATATCTTTATATTTAAAATGATTTAATCTTTGTTTCCCTTCCAATGAGCCACACTTAGATTTATTGAAGGGGTCTGGATCAGCTGTTCTTCAGAAGGTTTTCAGGATTTTTATCTGATTTCTGTTTGTTAAAGTAAGATGTGTTGTCCAGCAGAGGTCACTGATTAACTTCAAAATGGCTGCTACTCATGAAGGAAAAAAAATCTATAATAGGCAGCATTTCATCATCAGTCCACTCTGCTGTTGCTTATAGTTGTGCTGCGCGACCACTGGGTCGTTTATTCCAAAGAAACGTGCTGAAACCTACATCTTGTGCACCTTTCATCCTCCGTGTTCATTGTTTTGAAATTTTTTATACCTCCGAAGAGCTAAACCAATAAAGGCTTGACTGCAAGCGTCCATCTTTTTCCAACTTGAACACCGCACTTTGACTGCACACGGCGCTGATTTAGACAAGAATACATGAAGCATCCTGGTGGTAAATGATGTAACTGCTGGTGCCACGCGTTATGAAAGATGGCATCAGTGTCTCGCTTGGCTGCGACTGTTGGAGACGAGTCGGTGATTGAAGAGAGAATACCTGAATTTTCAGCTTCCCTCACTGAATTCTGAGTCAGCAGCAAGTTGTGCGGTCACGTTTTGAAAATCCTGCCTCGTTTTCGAGTGCGCAGCTTGCAAAACCGCTCTAAGCCGTGCACGTTATTTGTCTCGCACTTGTGCACATCTTCCACAAATTAAACATTATTCAAAAACTTTGCTCTTTATTGTCTAGTTTAGGAGATCTGTTGTTGTTTTGGACGTTGAGTCTGGTAACGACAGCAGTTTTATTTTGTTTGACTTTTTTTATTATTTTTTTTGTTAGAAAGTGGAAAAATGTGTTTGTATCCTGATCACATCTTACATGGAGGAAAACTCACATTTTGTGAAGCGTCTTGCAGCAGGTTAATAAAAGTCACTGTGTTGTTTCTTTCAGGAAACTGTACGTGGGGAATGAACTGCAGGTTCATCCACCCTGGCTTCAATGACAAAGGGAACTACTCCCTCATCAGTAAACCAGACCCTTTCTCTTCTAATGGAGCTCCACCCGGAGGACCAAACCCACTGATACCCAGCAACCCCTGGGTGAGGCGCTCTGGAGCCGCTCTGGTTCTGAATATTAGGAGGAAACTAGAACGTCGTTCACTCTCCATCACTGGCCTCTTTGTCTGTCTGTGAGCATCAGTGTGGTAGCCGGAAACCCTAAATAAATGTTTCCATGTCGTAGGCCGGTCCTGCGGTGGAGGAACTCCCTCCTCCGCCTCCACCAGTGGAACCTCCTGTGGAGAGCGCCTGGGAGCGAGGACTGAGGCACGCCAAAGAGGTAAACACTCGGTTTCGATTTTTATAGTCCCAATTCACAACCAAGCATCATCACAGGGAGCTGCACACAAACATTCAACAAACGTTATAAACGGTAAAATAGTAAAAGTTATCTGTGTAATGAAGCCAGCAGGCTGTGTGGAATCTTCACTTTAACCCCAAGCCGCCCATCATGAGCAGCACATTGGAGCCAATGGTTAGGAACAGGAAGCAACTGGAACCAGTTCTACAAACATGGAGTAGAGCGGGTGAAGACGGCAGCAGAGTGAGGAGACGTGGTCGGTTTGTCCTCCAGCAGTCTGAGCCTGTAGCAGCAGAACTGAGGAGTAGCTCGGCAGGGGTCCACATGAGCTGTTTACGTTTGTCAGAGGCTACATATTTTTGTCTCGTGCTCCAGATCTCACCTCGAGTAGATAAAAGTTCTCCGTAACAGACATCTGTCATCTGTAAGTAAAGAAAGTGGGAAAAAACATGTTTTATTTAGGTCTTTTTAAATCCATCCAATCTAATGATGATACAGGAATTAAACTGACTGCTTTCAACAAATTAACAGAACCAGAGCCACAGTTTGACCCAATCAGAGCAGAGCAGTGTGGCTCGTACTGTCTTATACACGGCAGGTGATCGCAGTGACTCAGAGACGGACTGCAGGTGAGGGCACCGATCGTTTTCAAGGAGGACATGCCGCTGCCCTAACTGAACTGCGTTGTCTCTTTTTATCTTAAGTTTTTTAACTTCTCTGAGAGTCAGTTTCAGATGTTTGTAGTTGATCATAAATAAATAAATTCAGCTCTACACATGTTTTAACAACAAGGTGTTGAGTCCGTCTGGATGAGCTCAACTTGATTATATTTAGAATCATACTGGGAGGTAACTGTACCGTGATAAATGTCATTTAAT